TTCTCTACCTTTTCCTGGGAATTAAGATGACAAAATCCCAATCTTTTGCTGATTCTATAAATGCTAAAACCCTCTTGGGGGTGGAGAACTAAGTGTAGTTAGTAAAACTATGGGAGGAAAGCTGGAGAATACAGCTTCTTCCCACCACAGTCACATCACATCACTAATAATAACTGAGCTATTGGGAGAAAGAGAAGAGAGCACAAGTTTTGACTAGATCAGGTGGAGAAAGGAACTTAAAGCAATCTCTCCCTTCTGCTGTGGCTGCTTTCTTTCAGTAAAAAGCAAACAAGAGAATAAAAAACTGCTTACTTGTGTATGGGAGTATCAGAAGGTATAATATATCTTCCAATAAGAATATTTAAACAGAAAATGACTCTCAGTTCTTAAAAAAAATAAATAAATCACTTATTCTTTTAAATGAGGTTCCTGACAGTGAATTCAAGCTGACAGAGCCCTGTAAAACGACAACCAAAATAGTGGCGAAGGTTTGGCCACTATTTGCCTCAGCCGTCAGCTATAAGCATCTCTGCCTCAGATGTGAGCTGGCTGTCCCTGTAGGTAGAGATATTTTGGATTGCATTCAGTCCTAACTCTTCCCGGGTGTCAGATAAAAAGCCTAAATGTCTAACTCAGGACTCTGGGCTCCTCTGCAAAGGTGGGTACTTAAAAGTTTCATGTGCCACCCAAGCACTTAATTGGATCTAACTCAGTAATTTGTTCCATAATGGGATGACCCAGCAGGATTATTTACAGCACAGCATGAAAGCAAATGCCAAAGAAGTGACAATGCAGCAGTACAAAGTTGTTGTATTGATTGTATAAATTGCTTCATTCGACAGCCTTAGGATGACTATGAATATTTCAGTGTAGTACATCTCTTCAGTTTCAATTTTAACGTGTTTCTTGAGTAAATAAGTGATCCTTGGGAAAGCCTTCCTCCCTTATAAACAAAGTAAGACATGGATTCCCAAAGAAAGCTCAGCAGCAATTCATTGGAGATTTTAAAATGAACTGAGGCATAATGGGAGACTTTTAGAAAACACATCTTCAAAATAATTCTGTAGTAGCCTGATGGGTTTATTCCACTGAATTTAAAGTAGGTAATCGTCTTCAAAATATAAGGCAACAAGTACCAAAAAAAAAATAATAAAAAAAATCTTGAAAAACCTATGATACTGAAAGAAAATGAAGCTTCAAAATTACTGTGTTCAAGCAGCACTGGGATTTTGTTGTGTTACTACTCTGCCCAACCAACCAAGAACAACAGCTTCCAGAAAAGCTGTGGCAAAGTGTTAGTGCCTGTTTCAGCATGTTTTTCCATTGCTTTTAACTTTGTGTATTGGTGTCACATAGTTTTGAGAACCGGTTACCAGCAAGGACCTCATTCACAGATTATGACTGGGGATGAGACAAGCAGGTGTCTACACTGACAGGGCACTGGAGGAACAAGGTCTTGCCTAGCAAACAGGCAAGATTATGTTTAACATGCCATCCATATATGTAACAACTGATAGAGTGTGTCTGCTGTCTAAGCAGATACCACGGGCACTAAAACTACTTTTTGAGCTGTAGGTTACTATTAGCAAACCTCTCTATAAGGGGAATCATAGAATCACCAAGGCTGAAAAAGACCTTTAAGATAATCAAGTCCAGGTAGAGAAGAACCTGTGCAGTAAGACATTATTATATCATGCATAAAAGTCCACACCTGCTGTAGATAGCCATCTATAATGGGAAATAAATTTTTTTTTCATTGACTTTCTGGCTATTTTTTATCTGTTCTTGGATAACATGTCTGTACTTTGGGCAGTTCAACCTCTCAGAACTTAAACACAAGTATTTGCATATTCAGATTTACCTAGGGTATGCCCTGTATAGAAATACCAGGTAGTGTGACCAAAGTGCCACCCAGAGATAATCATCATGGGTCAAATATTTTAAATTAACTTTTGTTTAAGGCTTGATTTGAGCCCAGATCATACATCCCAATACTCAGAAACTGTTTCTGGAAATGCTTACCTGGAAAATTTCTCCCTACCTCTGTTCACAGAATGGGACTGAAGATACTTACAGAAAATCTGGAAACTTGTTGTCACAAGCAGGCAAGATAAACACCAGCTGTTACCATGAGCAGAACTGAAGCTGGCTTGACACTGAGTCAAGTGAATAGCAGGTTACACGCTACCAAAAAACCCCACAACTTCCCAAAGGAAACATTCAGCACTGCCAGGAAAAGAGACATGCTAGCTTCTTGCCACCTACAGGTGAAACACCAAAATGCTTATGGTCCAGCAGCTAACTACATCTCAGACTCCAGTGTTGGGAGAGCAAATTGCTTCAGAACCAGAACTGACCTGAAATATGGACAGAATTTGGATTCCAAACCTTGGAATCTTTTCTGGTTTTATTTTAATGTGGAAGCATTTGAAGTATTAAATACTTGATTTTTTATAATCGGTCCACTCAACAGGGCTTTCGTTGGGTTGTTTTTTTTTAATGAAGAATAGCTGGAAGATCTCTATTCTCTTTCCTTTTTCTAATCCCACTCCATACTTCTGTTAATTGCCATTGATTAGCAAACAGCTTGTCAATTAACCCTGACAGGAGTGGTTATCAGTTTGATAGCATTGCATGTCATCCAAAAGGCAGGAAGAATTTAGTGTTTGTTTCAGGCAATTAGCAAGGGGCTGGCAGAGCTCACAATTGCCTAAAAGCTAAATGTTGCAGAACCACTGAGATAAATTATTGAATCAATTAAAGCACATAATTGGATGTCTTCAAGTATATTTAAAGCTAGCAAACAAGCTTCTAGCTGTCATGGGGTAGCATCAAAAATTAGTAGGAGAAGACTAGGAGGGTTTTTTGGGTTTTGTCTTGGTTTTTAAGCTGTTTGAGTTTGTTCTAGTCTGCCACTAACCTTACTTAAAAGCTAGTATTGACTTAAAGCAAAAGCATCTGGTAAAGAATAATATTTAAAATGACTTTCCTTCCGAAGTGGTTAATGTTTCTAAAAGGCAAAGAGGTTATTATTGCTAATGCTCTAATTGCAATGTTGACAATTGGTGGGCAGCAACTTTTCTCTTTTTTTACATTTAGCTGTCCCTGTCATGTTGGGCAGAACCTTTTTTATGGGCTGGCCTTCCTAGGAGTTCCTGCGCTGATCCTTCTGATTGTTGGCTATGCCCTGAATAACCAGACTTGGAGGCTGGTTACAGGCAAAAGTTCTCCTCTTTGGGAAGAGACTACGCCTAACCGGTTGCTGCAATGCAAACTGATCTGCTTCGTCTTGTGCAGCATCACTGGGAGAGCACTGGTTGCTCCAGTAACATGGCTAGCAGTCACCCTGATAAATGGCTCATATTATGTCTGTGCTGTCAGTGAGTATGTGCCTGTGCATTACTATGGAGTTAACCTTAATGTTACTGCTAGTGAACACAGAAAAATATTGGCTGCATTTCCATGCAGTCAGTTAGTTCCTTTGGAGCTGACCCGGGCAAGAGATGAAGTGATTATCCTACTCCGATACCAGTCACAAGTGAGTAACTTATGTTGCTTCTGTTGCCTGTGCATCTAATGATGAGAACTAGAGTGAATTCAGCAGGCAAAGTGTTAGCATTAAACAAAATCAGTATCTTTTGCTTTGAGTGACAAATTTCTGTGTGTTTTGAAGCCTGCTAGAGCCAAATCTCTATGTGTTTTGAAGTCTGCTTTGCTCCTCTAAGTGGAACTGAACTTTAGGTATATAAATTGCTATCTGTGGTTGCCCTGATTGCTACCTGATACTAGAGGATATATTCTTCCCTGCATGCTATCTTGGATAGTACTATCAAGTAAGACAATTGGAAGTTAAAGAACCAAGGAGGGTATGAAGTTTCTTTACTCAAGCTTAAGAAATGCGTGATTAAGTTGTAAGAGCTCCAGGTGAACTAAATAAAAGTCTTGTTTTTAGACCAGACTGAATTTTAAAAGCTTACATACTGGGTAAATATTAGGGGGAGCATTAAGGTGCAACTTCAGAGAAATCTGATTTTAAACAGGCTAGAAGCTGATATAGGCTAGGAATCATATGACTTCTCACAATAATAGCTGTGGAGGCAAAATGCTTAAATTATACAACAGAATTTTCTTGAACTTTACAGAAATAAATTACTTCACTACATGGCTACTTCCAGTGGGCAGGGATTGGGTTTGATGGCAACTAGGCTTATATGTGGTTTACCTTATTATTCAGGGAAAGCAAGTAAAGATAATCATGTGGATTTTCTGATGCTCAGAAGCTACCACTGTATTTTCAGCTGTAACAGTTTGGGTTTTTTTCCCTTTGTAAGGTGGCTGGCTGGCTTGTCATTGCTGTGGTAGTCATCACTGTCTTCCTGTCCTACTGCCTGGCAAGCTGTCTCTCCCCACTCAGCTTTCTACATTTCAGATACTGGAGCAGCTATGTCGATAATGAGCACGAGCTCTTTGATGAAGCAACAGAGGAGCACTCCAGGCTCTATGCCATGCAGCATGTAAAGAAGTTCTTTGGCTTTGTCCCAGGGAGCAAAAATGTAAAGGAAATCCGTATCCCATCTCTCAGGGAATGGCAAGCCATTTCTGGACTGGCCTTTCTAAAACAAGTGGATGACGAGCACTATGACTACAGCCTTCTCCATGACTGGGCACTCAAGGAGTCTGCAAATGGAAAATTCCTGAAGACTGACGAAGACTCTTTCATCAGGTCCGAGGGTCCAAGCCCCCAGCAACACCCTGCAGCAAAGCAGGAATGTGTCTAGCTCCACATTAGCTCTGAGCTGCTCTGGAACTTTGAGGCCTTATTGTATTGCTATTTAAAGTATGTGGGCGAGTACATCCTGATAATGTAGTTCTTCAGCACATGCTTACAGATGCCCTTCCTGATGGCATCTGACTTCTGTGGGATGTGATGGTCTATATCTAGGTTGGGGTGGGCTGTTTCAAGCTGCACCACTCTGCTCTCCAATACTTGTGCTAATAGGATGAGTATGTACTGGGAGAGAAAGTTATTCCCGGATGCTTTCTTTCCTCCCACTGTAACAGTCTTTAAAAATCAATAGCTAGACTTTGGATCCTGTGAGTTGGTCCATTCAGTACAGAGTAAAAGCACATATCCAACTTTGTCTTGGTGAACAATGGCAGAAATACCTAATTTCTCCTCTTCCACACTTTCTCCACACTTTCTTTTACCCTTATATTACCTTGAATAGAATACACTGAGCTAACTACAAGCTCAATCTGTAGCTATGGCAGCACTGAAGAAATGTACAGGGAAACTTCAGCAGCAAAGGCTAGGTCTAGATACAGTGATAAGAGAACTTTTAATTCTGGTAAAGAGATAAAACTTCCACTGAGAGACACAGGATGGAGGGCTCCAGCTGTATGAAGAAACTTTATATGTGAAAGATTTTTAAATGTATTTTGGTTGAAAGCACTAGCAAAATCAGTCTCCTATTTCTTTTAGATACGGACAGTTGAGAGATTTTGAAGTGTGTACTTGCCTACTGTACAAATAGCAAATCTGAATGGGAAACAAATTCTACTCTGTGCAGTGAGGTTTGCTTTGCCTGTGAAAAACGTACACTTCAGTCATATTACTATGCCTATAAATATTACTGTGATTTAAAACTACTGAATTTAGTTAAAGTAGGCTTAATGATGTTTTTGCATTAATTCACTGTGGCATGATGTGATGTTACTACAACTCATCTCCCTTCTAACTCCATGCACACATTTCCTACTCTCGGGGGAGGGGGGGGGGAAAAGTGCATACCACAGCTTTCCTAATGCCTCCTGTATTGTCTTGCCGGGTCCGTATGTGTGCTACAAACCCATATGCCAGATTACAGGATGTTATCTGCTGTTAATAGATGACCCGAGTGCTGAAGTGGAAAACCGAAATTATGTTACATATATGTAACTAGACAATGCAGGAACCAGAAGTAGGTTAAATTGTGGATCTTGGTAAATATGTGTGATGATTTAAACTTCTAAAAAAAAGCAAGCACTTTAGCAAATGCAAAACATTTATGTGCTGAAAAACTGGACAATGACGTGTATCTTATATCACTAAGAAATGATTGCAAATTCTCTTATGTATTTCATCTGAATTCTAAACCTTCAGGTAACAAAACTGCACTGTTTATATTTACTTCTTAGGAAGGAAAATACCTTTGCTAGTAAATGTAATCTAATTTTACTTTAAAATGGTTATGTTTATTTAAGATGGGCTACTGTGTAATCTGGAATATGTGCGACTTATTTGTGTGTCTGAACATTTTGGAAAGAAAAAAACACCCTATGTTGATGTCTGGATCCAAATGATGAAAACCTATCTGCTGTCTTTATTCCATATGGGTTCTATCCACTTTGTTTTACAGTACCATTATAAAATGATGTAATATTTGAACTTGAAAGAAACTGTGAGCTGTGAAATCTTTGAACTTCTTGCTAAACTAACCTCAAATTAAACTTCATGCTTCTTCATTTTTGTATCAATTGCTATTTGTCCTGTGTTGTGATTTTTTAAAGTTTATAATTTAAAATATTAAATGGAAGAACTAGCTGTATCCATCACCATGAAGTTGGCCTGCCAATACACAAACAGACTATCACCCTGATAGCTTAATTAACCCATGCTACTAGATACTGCTGTAGTGTTATAAGTGATTTGGTGTATTTTCCTTTGCTCCCTAAATCATGTCACGGATTGGTAGCCAAGGCACAGCTTTCAAAAAAATTCATGATTACAGGAAAATCGGTGAGTGGGCACTGAGTGGTCTAACTGCCTGCTAAAACCTGAGTCATCTTGCTCAAAATCAATTTAAAATTGCAGCTTGCTCACTTGAAGTGAAAATTATGCTGTTTATGTCTGCAGCACAAGTTTTCTGGAAACCCTGAGCTCATAAAATGCATCTGAGGGAAAAGTGCTGGCCATAAGCCCAGGAAACTGATGCACCTTAAAATCACTCTACGGACCAAGTACCCATTCAAGGTCTGCTGGTTTTTAACCCTCAACAGCCTCAAATTCCTCCTTGTGGGGAACCCCCCAGTACAGGAGCTCCCTCTATCACTAGCCTTGATGACTACACCATGCACTTCCACCATGATGCTGCCCATGCGACAGGACTTCTCCAACCACTGTGAACGCTTCCTGGAATGCCTAGAGGTGCTTTTTAACTCCAAGCTCTTCCACCAGCTCATTTTTCCAGCTGCATTAAATGAACTTCCCATTTCGTGTAGAAGCGTCATTCAGCTGCTCCTACGGTGCCCTTATGCTATTCCTGCAGCATCAGACGTGAATGAATCCCAGCCGGTCTGTTGATCTCTACACATTTTCAAAGACATCGTGACCAGCAGTGACGACCAGCCCAGACCGAACGCGCTCCCGATGGCGACCCTGAGGCCTGCAGGCCTTCGGAGGCCTCAATCACAGCTACCTCACCTATTCAGAACAACGCTATTCCCACGCCATTCCCGGGGCGGAATCCCGGGCAGACGCGGTGCCCGTGCCGAAGGTTTTTTGAGCACGTCCGGTGCGAGCGGCTGGCGAACGCACCCCGGCCCGTTCCGCCCGCGGAGAGGAACGCCCAGAGGCCAACACAAGAACCTCCGAGCCCGACATCACGGCTCTCCACCGCTCCCTGCGAAGATCGCTCTCTGCACTCCCACCACGGCCTCCCCAGGCCCCGCCTCCCCGCGGCCTAGA